CACACACACACACACACACACACACACACACACACACAAATAAAAAGTCAGTCTCCTTCTGGGGGGGAAGCACACCTGGTCCAGCTCAGATAAGCATTGTATTCTCACCCTGGACGACAGAGAGCAGCCTCCTGACCAAGACAGAGGAGCCCAAATATGAGGAGTACCATCTGTACATTTTCCCATAGAAATGTACAGAGCTGCTCACAGGTGCTATTTAAAGACAAACCTTTTAAAGGAAACCGGGGAGTTCCGAAGAGACGCGCAACGGCAAAACGCCGCGGGAAACCACAGGAATCTCGAAGTCTTCTGAGAAACCCCCAGGAACTGGCTTTATCTTCTTTCACCAGACGTTACTTTTTCACATCATTCGCAATGAAATTCTCCCAGGGTCTGAGTACAGTATTGTTATTATACCGTCATTACAATAATTCCAATATCGCGATGACAGAGAAACACTGCAAAGACAAATCGGATAATGGGTGGCCGTGCGCACAAGCACGCTGACCCCGCTTGTCAGTCTGCGAAGCTTTTAATTAGACAAGGAGGCAGGGGGAGGGTTTGACGGCCAGATGGGAGCCGGCAGAAACCCCGCTGCCGGGGAGAAATTCCTCGGCTTCGGACTCATTTTGGTCTCATTTTGGAGTGAGCGATCTCTCATAGCTCCGAGGTCAAGAGTTAAAGGTTATATTACTCTGGGAATTATGAAAACGGGTGCCACTTTACAATAAGGCTACACATATAAAGGGTTTATGAATGGTTTATAATCTGGTTATTAATTAGGTTGTAACACTTTGTAAATTATTAATAGACAATTTTAAAGAAGTTATAACAGTGTTTGATTTAGTTATACATTGAAAACACACGTGGTTGACACTTGTTTATATTTTATGTCATTTTCGTGATTTCATTTACCAATTAAAGAAGGAAAAATAAAAAATATGGCTCTTTCCCGGTCTTTCGTGGTGTAGCCACCTTTCACTAAAAAGCCAAAATCCTCGGTGTTAGACTTTTAACGAGCACAACCGTACCCACAGATCACGTTACAGAAGTACCAAAATGTTCCCGGCCAAGAACTTGTTCCACGTCTCCATTTCTGAATCAGCTGGTCAGGTGTTTAAGTTGGCGAATTCTTAACACATAACTATATAAACCACCTTGTAACAGAAAGCTAGTTCAGCGTACGTAGACTATAGTTTAGCATTAATAATGCGCATAATCATTTTATAATACAGTTAAACAATAATGCAGTTAAACAGTAAGCAACCTGTCTCAACCGTCTCACCTGGAACATCTGGAACATGCAAAACATGCTATTGAAACCCAAAAATTATAGGATCACGATGGCGATTGTATTAAATTAGTAGTTAAACTATTACGGATACCAGTTAAGATTGAGATGATCATAATTATGTTAATTGCTGGAAATTATTCATTGTACCTTACAGAGGAACATTAAAAGAATTCTCGTTACTAGGGTTACTATAGGGATAGTGACATAGCAGTGAAAATGTGATGTGACATATTGTAATGAATTTATCAGCGTACACAATTCATGCGCAGTTATAATGGCCCTCTTTTCCGCTTGGGCGAGTATTCGGGGTTCAGTAAGTGCTACAGTAGACCGAGGTTAAATGATTACAGCGGGAGTAAGTGCTAAATTCATATTTACAGCAAGAAAATTGTAATGGACATTATAAAATATGACAAGCGGCAAATATGATGGTTGGGGGTCAATGTAATCCCCAAAGATTCACACTGTACCTCTATGTGAAATATTTCTTATAATTGTAGGCATGTTGAAAAAGCTCATTTTTCCGACGAAGTGTTTATCTAAAGAGGTAATATTTACTCAAAAATGCCTAAGTATCATATCAGTAATTGCAGAGATTCTGCAAGCCACTAATAGTTTTAAATAATAAAACATAATAATGCATGCATCTTATGATACCACAGCCCATTCAAATGATATACAGTAACGAATATAATAAACAAGGACTTACCACGGTATAAAACAGAAACTATCGCTGAAGAGAAAACAGTCATTCCTGGGTTTGACGAAAATATAAAAGATAAACTTCCGCTGTTCCAGCAGAGGCAAGTCAGTCCACGATGGGAAAAAACAGCACTTTAGTCCATATTAGTCCTTTTGGTGTTGAAACATTTTCTTCATAGTTTCCGGTGAAGGTGCAGCATCTCCGCGCTGGAGCGTCTCCGCATGCATTCGCGCGCCCGCCCGCTCTCTCCTCCCGGAGCGTCTGTCACAGGTCAGCGCGCCGAGCCGTTATGCTGCTGCCAGCCGGGGGTGATGGGGGTATTGCTGATGTTACCCTACATCTCGGCTGTTGTTGCTATGATACCACAGCAGTGGCATGGCGAAATTGCCGAAGGATGTGAATAATTGCCTCTTTAACAATACTCCCGCTGCCGACCCACGTTTAAGCTTACATGTTCATTATAGCCTAAAGCAAGGGAAATATTGTTTGAAATTGGCACGGTGCAGGTGTTAAAACTCCAGGGAACATTTCAGCCATCAACAATGGAGCTAGACAGCATGAACAATTCAAACAGACCAGGAAAAGATACCCAACTGTGCAGCACAAGCCACCCACCAAATCTCTCCAAAACTCCAGCGTCAGTAAATACGGCGATTCGATGGCTAAGATACTATAGTCTACAATAATGGTATTAGGTAAACAATTAAAACTTTAATCAAAAGCGCAACTGAGAAAACTTGCACAGCATGTTAAAATTTTTGTCGGTATAATTCTGATAAATTGCCGAACACTCTTCAAGGCAGTTTGTTAAATATTTAACTCCAGCGAAACACCCTGAGACGCACAGAAATGGTCTTACCAGCAACTACAGGGAATGCAGACATCTCCTAGAGCTTAATCTGCAATAAGGGTCCCCGCTGAACGGCACTTGACAGTATTCTGCTGGGGGAAGGGAGGGACATGTCTGTTTATGTCGGGAATAACGTCGGGAGAATTTATAGCAGGTGAGCCGTCACATTATCCAGATGTTGCAGCTGAATGAGAATGCTTTTATGTAGGTTTACTTAAGTAGTGTAACAGGGCAATATTTTCATTCCTGCAACACTGGTATCATTGCCACAAGAAAGGAAACACAATAGAATTCTGGATAGACAAAGAATCTAGTTGTGCTAATAAACCTTAGACAAAAAGAACAAGCACGTTCGCTCCGATATCGTTTCTGGAGTACTTCTGCGTCGCCTGCTTGAAGGCAATAGAACTTTTGGAACCAGGTCATGATGGTAGAAGAGCTGTGTGTTTGTAAACGGGATCCTGTTTACAAAGGCTTAAAGGCTTCGTTTAGTATACCAGGAAGAGAGTCCTGACTGCGACCCAGCGTTACATTCCCTCCAGGGGACAGTAACATGAATCTACGGGATCTTCGTACCGTGTGCTGTCCGCTCGAGGGCGGACATACCATAAGGCAGGGGTAGGCAGCCGCCAGGGCCCCCATGGAAGCTAAGGGGCCCATGAAGACAATTTCCAGAAGTAACTTTTAATATGATCATTTAAATGATTGCAACATGTATGTCATTTGCATTTTTAGGGACCGCTTTAAGGATAGACCAAGTTGCTCCATCCCGGCTGTAATGGAGTCTATCGGTTGTTCACTAGCTGCCAAGCGAACTGGCACGAAATAACATGACGAAAACGGCACAAAGACAAAAGACATTACATCTCACTTGTCTGATACTGTCTCGCTAGAGTGGTAGACAACTTGCTAACAGACGTGGAAAGAACACAATTAACAGAAAGTGTGCAACAATTCAAGACTAACCTTAGCAAAAGAGCACAGAAAAAGAACAAAACAGAAAAGGGCAGAAAAGAACAAAGAACAGAAAATTTAAATCACGGAATTATATGCATTTTATACCAGCAATTTAACCGTGTGGGATTCCGAACCTGAATCCAAGTTCCCAAATTCCAAATTGTGGAGAAAAAAAAGATCAAAATAGCCAACTGTTAGTAGTTTCCCCACAACAACCCTTGATTTGCACCAAGAAAATATCAGTTATAGAAATATATAGAGAGATTAGAGAGCAAACGTCAAAGAATTTGTATTTCATTCATTGTACATCAGAACCTTTGGAAAGCATTACAGCTCAATCTCAAGAGTGTTAGAACAGAAGAGACACTTATTAATCTGCCCAGCCAGCTACACACACTGCATCGGCAGGGATCCTGCAACTGTGTACACATCTACAAACACTAGAACATTTCCCGCAGGTGAAATCCTGAGAAGCAGTGCAGGATCAAAGCAATCCATCCACAAGACGATCCATCCATTAATGGCAACAGATTATGATTTTAATTCTTTTGGAAGGGCATCTTCTCATATCTTGAAAAATTAGACCAAAATTTCCAGCGGGGGGGGGGGGGGGGGGTGACGGGCGGTGGTGGGGTGTTAACCTTCTCGATGTGGGAGTATCTTTTTAAATATGGGAATAACCTTTTTAAGGTAAGAATAACCATTTCAATGTGGGCACATCCTTTTTAAGGTGGGACTAACCTTTTCAATGTGGGAGTATCCTTTTTTAAGGTGGTCAACACTCCAAAGTGCTTCATATCTTAAATACGGCTTTATATGTGCAATCTGAAATCCATTCGGCGAGAGAAGACTGGTTCCAATCCCACTCACATCATATGCTTAAATACTCTTGAACAGAAAGTCACACAGGACAGGAATACCACCACGAAAGAAACAGGAGGACACACTCCTCTGGTTTATTTAGTTAAGATCAAGATTCCAATGAAGGAACAGGACAAAGGGAAATTCACTGGCTGCAAAGGAAAGCATCACAAATATGTACAGTCCTTCTGGCTTTTAAAGGGATCCCATGATGTGCTCAGATATAACCTATAAACCCAAATGAAGAAGCATTTACACCATCGTCTGTGGTACTAGACAGGTAAGCAAATTTGGGAGGAAAAGGTGGATTATCTTATCTTTAAAGAAGAGGTTAAATGCAACCCTACAAAAAAATAACAACCTGTGATGTTTAACGTATACATTCCTGAAGGACAGCTCTGAGATTCAGCTGTCATTAACATAAAAACTAACATTCAGCACTCATAATTGTAGCTCAGATTGCAACCTTATGTACTGCAAGGCTGCACAATCCAGATCTGGTTTTGGCGGTCCACTGTTGGGCTTAATTGTAGCTGATCTTTCAATTTATTAGCCTCAATCAAGCTATTTAAATTAATTAGTCCAAATGATTATATAGGGCTCATTACATGATGATTTTCAGTTGTACGTTCTTTTATAGTCAAGAAATAAGTAACTAAAGGCTTCATTAATTCAAACTAAATTTAACCCAAATTAATTCTGTTAATGGCAGACTAAAGGGAACATGGGGCATTTTATTAGCACAAATGCAAGCACTCTCTTCAGTTAATGGAGTACAAATAATTAATTTTATGGAGCAACAATTAAAACACAAAGCTTTTAGATCATTTGAGTTACATGAATTCAGCTGCACAAGATTCGAAATGACCATGATTTCTCAAATGAAGCAGGTTATCCGTGCGTTTCCACGTTGCAGTCAACAGCTGGATCATTAAGCTGGGACAGAGGTCAGCAAGCGCGCAGAGTCATGAGGCCCAGCATTGGAGAATGCCAGGATTTCACCCAGAACAAGAGCCTACGCACTAGCAAAGGCCATGCAAGATCCCCTCTCTCTCAAACAAATGATACAAATTGTGTCCTTAATGGTTGTCTTACATATTCAAAGAGACTTATTTCTGTATCTGTAAGTTTTTTTTAATGATTATTAGCCTGTCCTAGACTTAGAAATGAAGTACAATTAAATAAAAAGGCTAATGTTAAATATGAAAAGAACTGTCATATTTCAAAAGCGATTCAATTGAATTTTCCTCAAAATGGACCAAGTACAATTTCATCTATCCAAATGACATTAACTTTTAAAAAATAATTTCTTATGGTGTATATTATAAAATTGCCACAATTTAAAACATAAACCATTTGGCATATAATCTTGAATCATATATTAATTTACCTCCCAAACTCAATGTTATTTCACAATAAATAGGTCTGACTCCATAAGTACAATTAAATTATATATTATAACATTTATACAAAATAGAATGCAATGAAACTAGACAGCACAACAAACTCTGGCATCTCAAAGTTCAACTTCAGTAGACAGTCTTGTACAATTAAATTAACAGCAGTACAGTTTTACCTGTTGGGTCTCGAATACAGATAGCACCTTGATGACTGGGCAGTGAGTCTGACCACTGCAAACTGACACCTTGTGTTTAGTGATTGTCACTTCTGAAGTCCTGTGTGGGTATAAAAAGGGTAGCAGAATAGGAACGGGGCTCTATATAAGAAATGGGAGTCTTCTGAAGGAAGCCTCAGGTAGTTGTTGGGTCCAATCCCTGTGGCACTGCAGACTGGATCAGGTTCGGTTTCACGTGCTGGCGTCGTGACCCCCGGACTGAGCCTCCTCCGCGTGCTTGAACATCAGGATGGAATTGTAGATCTTGAGAGCCGGGCCCAGCTTCACGCTCATGATCTTCACGATGTCACGCTGCGTAAGTAGCAGAAAGGCTTTGCCGTCTATCTGCTGTAAAAAAGACCATGGATCACAATCAAGCCTGGATCTCAACTCTCATATACTACGGTAACGCTTTACATAAACTGCATTATGCATTCATAGAACATTCAGTGTACCTTCATAATGCATTCATAGAACATTCATAAGCAGCATGCAAGTATACCTTAACATCCTAACATACTGTACCTTAACAGCTTAAAAATACATTATTAACAAACCTTATCATTACACGATTATAGTGTTTGTTACTATCGTATAATGTTTGTCATTAATGTATAATACAGTTGGTATATATATTAGGATGTTAAAGTATATTTACATGCTTCATATGAATGTCCTACAAATGCATTATAAAGTCATTATGAAGGTGAAGTTAATGAAAAGTGTCACCTATACTACAAAGCATCTACTTATCTGACCTGACCTTACACCCTCCATGACAAGCCTGGAACACAGAGGACACCCCGGGGGGGTGATGGTCCATCACAGGGCACACAATCATATGCTTACTGCCTGGAATTATGCCAAATATACTAAACAAATGAAATATATTGTATCTCGATAGTGTGTCATTCATTAATGCTTTCATCTGTTGCCTAATCTTTCTTTCTATAGTGAGGCTAAATTAACCTAAAAAATCTTATGACACGAATGGCCCACATTAGGCCAGTTACAGCTGGTAACATCCGGTAACATTAATGCTAGAGGGGTCTGCGGGAGAATCCTGTCGAGGTATAAATCCACCTTTTCGGAAATGTCCTCGAGCTGCGGATAAAGGCGCTATCCCCCCCCCCATTCCCCTCCCCCTCCCTTCCCCACAGTCCACTGCTGACACATGCAAAAGCACACAGCAGAAAAGACTGGGCTTTACCAGCTGTACTTAATGAGGGTCTGCATTCGGAAGATAGGGGAGAGTTAAAACTCGTTAGCTCACCTAAAGGGGAGATCTCCCACAGCCTTACTACGGTGCGTGCTTACCTCGTCTTGGAACTGCTTAGACGGTTCCTCGCACCCTGGGAGTGAGTGGATGAAGTTGGCCACCTATGGGCGCACACACACACACACACACACACACACACACACAGATTAGATATCCATTGCCGCTTTACCACTGGCATAGAGGAACCAAGCCTTACCACGAAGAGCGACTAGTTACAGTGCGGTTCCGGCTCACTTCAGTTTTCCACTGCAGAAGGGCCAGCTCGGTAAAGGTGTCGCTCGGTTTGGAGAGCGACAATGACGTAAAACCGCTTATTTACTCTTCACACGATGCACATCATGATTACTTATTATTCTTTTTATACTGTGTGTTAATTTCCGTGCGAGATCTGTGAGAATCGCCATCTTATGCTAGCATCAAACACCAGTGGCATTTGCTTGCGTAAACTTGCATTACGATTCCATTCCGTTCAGCTGTTCTAGAGCAGTTTTTTAAGTAGGTGGTTGATAATTTTCAAGTTCAGATTTATTGGGAATGCATTGATACACTGCAATGTGCTTTACTACAAATAATAACTAGGACCATGTCAGCGCGGGTATGGCTTGGGTACAACTCACATACTTTATAAAATTGAGTTTTCCTCTGTGGGGACTAAAAACATGTTCCCACAATATAAAAAAAAAAAAAAAAGATTTTTTAATCACATTGTGGGGTAATCTGGTCCCCATAATGTAATAATTACAAAAACGCATACACACACATACACACACACACATACAGAGAGACAGACAGACAGACAGACAGACACACACACACACACACACACACACACACACACACAGACAGAACAAAACATACGCACACACACAAGCCCGTGCGCACACACACGCAGACACACCGATAAAAGCCAACAGCCCTTTCACTTCACTGCCTGGCCCGAGGGACAGCCAAGCACTTATGGTTCCGATCTGCCATCTGTGCAAGCTTGGGTCCAAACAGAACCACCGTAACCCCGAAAAACAGCATCTGCCTCCAAATTTTAAGCAAAGCTTTGGAACCAGCATAATATTAAGCTACAGAAAATATCAAAGAATGAGAATCCCCATATGGCTCCTAAGTCAGTCTCGCTTACGTCCTGAGTCACCTACAGCCTGTTTCCTAATTCATCACCTTCATAGTAACAAAAAAAAAATTAACTGCTCAACACAAGAAATAACCCTCATCTGTCATTCCAAGAATCAGCCCGCAAAGAAAACGGGCCCATTAGGAGCCTTTGTGCCCTCATGTACAATGCGGTTGCTCCTGACAGCTGACATGCTGACTGGGTGTTACCGGGATACTGGGCCGAGACATGGAGCCCAGTGCAGTCCCCTGCATTTGGACTCCAGAGGACCCTGAGCGAGGGGGGATTCTAACCATGTGTGTATGTGTGGAGAGGCACTCGGTTGAGATACCAGCAATGACAGGTGGAGAGTGTAAAATGTGTTACAGCAGTGTTTCCCAATCCGGTCCTCAGGGACCCACAGACAGTCAACAATTTTGCTCCCCCGGGAGCTGGAAGGGAGCAAAAACATGGACTGACTGTGGGTCCCCGAGGACCAGATTGGGAAACACCATGTTAGAAGATCAGGAGGTGAGACTGATCTGCTCGCATTTATGGAATGGGGATAAGGAGAGGCGAGACTCCTGCCGTTACCCACGTGGAGGAACTTACCCGGGCACCTGCTGGAATGTGGACGGGAAGGTAACAGGGTGGGGAAGCATCTGGCGATAGGAGCCCAGGAAGCCAGGACTCCCAACCTCATAGCGGCAGGAAGTAGCTTAAGCAGGAAAACACCCAGATCCTATCGGCAGCCATGGTAGAGACAGACTCCCAAGGGACCCCATGATCAAGATGGAAAGCCACCAACCGAGAGGCCAGTGTCCCTGTCACAAGGGCAGGTCATCCCAAGGAGACCCCGGGTGTGACAGCCACAGACGTAACCTTTGCATTGATCAGAACCACCTGTAATCACTGCTTGCTGTTTATTTAGCAGACACTCTCCGGGTTCTGCCACCAACACAGACTCAAAACAAAGCAAAAGAACAGGAAATCAAAAAGAACTTCGGAAAACACAAGAAAGGCTAAATGAATCGGACTTCACGACCGGCAGTAACTATACGATGGGCTGACTGCCGAACATCCCTGAAGCTAATGCCACAGTGCACATGTGATTACAGTCTATACACTCAAGCCAATTGCAGATTCACATTTACATATAGAGCAGCGTTTCCCAATCCGGTCCTCGGAGAGCTACAGTCGGTCCATGTTTTTGCTCCCTCCGAGCTCCCTGCCAGACAAGAGCCAGGACGGAGCAAAAATGAGGACTCTCTGTGGGTCCCATAGAACTGGATTGGGAAACACTGATATAGAGTTACAAGATACCTTACAGTAGCCCTCATAAAGTTTGAGTAAGCATGACCCTTTGAGACAGAATGGACAGCGGAGGCTGGGCACTTGGATCCAGAGGCACGACGGCCCAGAGTATGTCATTATCTCCCTGCATTCTGTGCTTCGCTGAGGCACGGCCGGCCGGGTGTCTACTGCTTATCGTTATATATGAGTGATGTGGCAAAGACATGAGCTCCAACAAGGTCCTCTTCTCCTTCCCAGCAGGCCACTGGGTCGCATGTTCCTGCACGGAGCTCAGTCATCACCAGGAGGTCTCAGTGTGACCCTAAGGCCGTCAGGCCAGGGCACCGTCAGTGAGGATATTTCTTAATTACAGAATCTGTAATCTCATCTAGCTGGAAACATTATCCAAAACGGGGTGACTGACACACAGACACACAAGAAGCGCATCATTCTAAGGCATTAATAGCATGATTATTAATAACTGTCCCTCACATGCCAAGCGGCCACCGTCATTCAGCGGGAGACGAAGGACTCCTTAAGGCTTGGCCGCGGGCAGTGCTGCAGTAACCGCTACAAACCGCCGCCCGTTTACCGTGGCAGGCTCCTCTGCTGCGACGTGCTAAACGCCAGTCGGCCACGCCTCGTAGCTTCCATGCATTATTCATCCTGGACCCAGCATGCAATGCTGGGTAATTACAGGATCCTGCCGCCAGGACAGCATGGGCATGATGACCCCCACCCCCTACCCCCGACCAATACAGGATAAAAGGAGGGCCATGGACATACGCACCTCACACACTCCGGAACAAGGCGGTTCATCCGTACAAGATCACCAACTCTGCATGAAATCGGCAGGGCCGACCCACATGAAACGAAGCCTTACTGATGTAGGTACCTTACTAAATGAATTACAAAAATGTCCCCCTTGCACATCAATACAGTTATATCCTGTCTAATCTGCACATCCCGTAAGAAGTCAAAAAATGCCTTCTCTTCAGTCCTTGGCAAAATTTGCTAGATGAGCAGATTTTCGCTTCATGTTGGAATCGGAATCCCCACCACTTCTCACCTTTCGCTGACAATGCGGACGTTAAGCGAACACGGCCTCCATCCTGATGTGTGGGCGGAGCCACACGCATCTGCGGAATGACTCAGGGACTTTGTCCTTGACCGTCCAACTGTCACCCAGCGCAGAGGGGACTAGCCAAGTACGACATCCGCGTGAGCCCCCACCCAACCTACACGGAGCGACTCGACGCCCACAGGTGGCGAGAAAGAGTGAAAGTGTCAGTGACTGGACTCATTTAATTTCCCAGGCAGTGAAGGACCCTCCTTCAGATGCCACTTTACTGCTGTCAATTTCTCCGAAAACCCAATTAAACATGAGTGTACACAGAGCTTGGGGCGATGAAAAATAATAAACGAGGATTGGGGGGGTGCTTAATTATTCAAATGTGTACCACATACTGTATGTACCATCTAAAATGGAACGCCAGGGCACTGAAGATATAAAGCCTCACTTACCAGCATAGCGCCACCTGCCTGTGGTTATACATAGCTGCAGCCACCAGCTACTAGTCGGCATTTGTGTATCAGTTACTAAAAAATAACAATGTTTACTGGGCTCGAGATTCCAGCTGATGACTATGCTTGACCCGCGCTGCCTTGTCAGGCATCATCGCTTTTGCAATTTACGACATGCACCTCTGTTAACTGCAGGCTAATTTACTGCTTTTTTAAGCTTGCCTGCTCTTCCGTCAGGCTCCCTTAAGGTTGAATTATGGCTCACAGTTTGAGTGCACGGCTCTGGGGGGCCCTGAGCTGCCTTGAGGCCCATTCGTGGGTTTATATACTCTCTCAGCAGGGAGATAATGCCTTCATATGTAACCACCCCCCCTCCCTTCCCAGAGGTGGCAGATCGGCGTGACCTTGCAGGAAGCTCACCGGTGCGACCATCATAGTCCGCATCTTCAGCGGCAGACCTGATGGACCCCTGACGCAAACCGCACACAGTGATGGGTTTAATGGTGACAGACGGTGCTGAGTTAATCACTTAGGAGCACCATGCCCCCCCCCATACATCACTGGCCACTGTTAAGGCCACGAACCGCGTCCTGGGAAAAAGCACAGCCGCTGGTGCCGTCCTGCGGTCAGAGCAGCCCCAGCCCGTCCGCCGCAGGGCCCCTTACCGCCGACACTGAGAATTAGCAGCACTTGCACTTCCTTCCAGGAACGGATCGAGACCGTCAGGAGAGGAAAAGGTCCGGAAGCCGACGGAGCACAACAAGCTATTTACAGCCAAACCCATGGGATGGCTGATCCGTTCCCAGAAACCACGGCAACGCTCGAATGGCTATTTTTAGACCAAAACACAGCACTCTGAGAATCTCCCTTTATCTCTGGGACTTCAGCATTACACAATATCTGAATAAATTATTTTGTTTGCCATAAATAAATTGGTAACACTTTACGTAAAGCAGCCATGTATAATGCATTATATAGATGCCTTCATAATGCATTATAGTGCATTCATAAAGCATTATAAACATGGCTATAACTTTATAAGAAGGCATAACACATTATAGTCATGTTTATTATGCATTATGAATGCTTTATAAAGCTCTCATCTATAATACACTATACCTTTGCAATGCAATACAAAACATCCTTAATTCTTATACTGACCATTATAATTCATTATGATGCCATTTTGCCGGTGTGTATGCAGATCCCTGTATAAAATGGAAGAATCCACAAAGACACTGCGCAAGGGGGGGATGGGTGGGTAGTATACTTACCTCATCCACAGTCCAGAGGGCCACACGGCTAGCCGGCACGCCCACCACCCCCGGCAGCAGCTTGCAGTGCTGCTCCCAGCACAGGGGCAGCTCACGGCTGGGGTGGGCCGTCATGGCCGACAGGAAGATGGACTGGTGCAGGGTCTGCTGCATGCCGTCCACGCCGCACTCTGCGAGGACCAAGCACAGAACACGGCAGTGAGGCTCCTGACCCTGAGCTGGCCACCAGGACCAGCCAACAGACAAAACCGACGCGACTGGGCACAAGTAAAATGAGTAAGGCAGTAAAAGAAACAGTTAGGCTGAATAACAACTTCAGGAAATGTTTGTAAACATACAGTGCTCTTCATCTACCTGTAATGGGCAAAATTTTACCCCAATTATTCCCAGAACCTTCCAACAGCTGGTCATTAAATCAGGGGAACCAGAATACAGAAGCCTTAACATTAAGTGGAGGGAGCCACCTCTGATCAGGCATCACTGATTATTTAGGTCAGGTCTTTAGGGAGATGGTGTTGTGCTCATAATGTGAAAAAGTACAATTATCACCCAGCAAAGAGCCCAAAAGCAGAGCGAGCAAGAGGATGGTCCCTTGAGGTCTTTACACGCTTCCAGAGACACTTTCTCACGAGCACCTGGCAGGAGAAAATCCCACTGAAGTCCTGACTGGCGAACATGCAATTCTCTATTTATGCGCAAACAAGCCAAGGCGAGCCTGGACTGGAAGGTAACTATGGCGATAGTCTCTCTGGGTGCCAGGATGTGTCCGCGACGCAGGTGCTGTGGAAACCGGGCACATCTATCAGTGGGAAAGGGTTATATTAGACATAAGTTATTTATCATTATTATTAATTTTCTTGAGAAATGAGACGTTCCAGAAAATAATCACCCCCTCCACCCCCCCAGAGCCACATATACGCATCTCACGCAAAATGTTACCGTCGAGTGGCCCAGACTGTGAAACAGGGGCACTGGGACAGGAAGATGCCAAGGTCGGGGGGGTAGGATGGGACACAGCTGGTCGCTCCTTTCGGATGGGGAGTTGGGAGTGCCAAAACATGTCTCCAAGGAAACCACATGAAGACACCATTCATTGGGAAACAGGGAGACGGGATGGGCGGACTGGGAGACGAAAGGGTTGATGCAGAGCCTGCCATCATGCTTCATCCTGCAAGCGGATGCTTAACGGACACCCGGAGAACCAGTTTTAAAGAAAAATCCTCATATTAATGCCCCTACAGTAGGCAAAGTCCTACAGCTGCAAGCTCTCTGAATGGGCTCTTTGAACGGCCCCTTTGCCATCCCAGATGTCAAAACAATTAAAATCTGGCTCCTTCTGACGCTGTCAGCCGCGTGACTGAGTCCTAATATCCTTAATGAAATCCAGCTAATGACAAGCTGCGGCGAATTCAGCAATCTGCTCCTCTGAAATCGCACGGTTTCCCAAACCTCTTCACATTTTCTGCTCTACTCAAATAGTGTCTAATCCAGAAATGAATTCTTTTCCATTAATTCCTGCCACCTGTGGCATAATTATCAACGGTTTCATGCGGTTATTAAATTCTTATCAAGGCTTAAATGCCTAAGCACCACCTGAAGTAGAGAAGATGAAGTATCGATTAACAGAGAAGCACTTGCCTCTTCAAACAATAACAGACCCTGTACGCGCTGGACAAACAGGACAGGAAGGGCTTTCGAATGACGAGGGTCCTGCATTTCCCTGCACATGAGAGTGACCCCCAGGCACATATTATGGGGAAGGTGGCCATCTATCCATCCATATCCATTTACTCCATCTCAAGTACTGGACATTTCAGTTCCAGAAACTACAAATCCAGACCAGGATTTTGTTTCTACCAACCCATTGAGCATAAAGAGTCACAGTCACAGAAATTGATTGGTAGACACAAAATATTGGTCTGGATTTGTAGCTTCTGGAACTGAAATGCCCAACACGGTCTCTGTCCTAAGCTGCAGCTGTATTTGGCGTAATGTGAGCGCTAACGGTGCCATACAGTGAATAGAAGCATGTGGAGAAACACGGAGGAACAGACAGATCCAACAGCTCCATGACTAGGAGGCTTGAACAAAGAGGAAAGGAGTTAAAAATACCGCTTTACACACCAGCCAGCAGAGACCAGCGCCGCAGTTTTTAGAAAGACACCATCCTTATCCAGGAGGTACGTTAAAAATACATGACACACTATAACCGTTTCCCAGTCGAGAGCGAAGACACGCAGCCAGAGCCCACGGAGCACCTCGAGAAAGACGAGGCAATGCTGCGCCGCACCGCAGGAAATGCGACAAACTGGTGAAGGAATGAGGTTTCGTTTGCATGAGCGGGACGAGACAAAACAGACGGATGGAAAGAATGCATGAAAAATTCACAAAAGACAAAAGTGATAAAAGAGTCATCGGCCGGCTTAACTTAATCTGCAAAGGATTTTTTTTTTTTTTTAAACAAATACTTTAAATGAGCCGCAGAAGGTTATTACTATTGACCCCTAACCTACGTCAGCAGTTTAAAAAAAAATAAAAAAATCGAATGAAATTAAATAAAATGACACTTGCCCATACTACTTTATTTAGTGTCACATTCTGGTTTTCAAAATATTTCATTGATTTTATGTTCTATGTACTTTTTAAGTCTGATTGCACTACGTTTCCTCCATTCGCACACTGTGTACCGTGCCTTTGTCCCTTATCTGTTTGTCAGTATATGTATGTTCATCTCTGCACTACATTCTTGCTGCTGTAAGCACGGGAATGCTCCCCCTGGGATCAATGAAGTTAACTGTAATCTTACTGTAAATTTACCACTACAGCATACATATACCAACCGGTTATGTTGCTTCTCGTCTTCTCTCACATATGTGCACATCCACCTGGGGGGTGGGGCGGGGGGCGGGTGCTCCCATCTCTTACACGCTAAGGCAGGTTGTTCTATTATTAATAGGGAGCGTATGTTTTTACCTCAGTGCTCTGTCTAACCACGCTCCCCCTGTGCTAATAACAGAGAGTCTCGGTGTTCTTCGCTAATTATAGAGAGCCCACTGGGTTCTGTTAAGGCAGAATGTTCAATGTGAAGAGCTACTTAAAAGACGGGGCTGTGAGGGCTTTGCCAGACACGGGGTCCTCCTCTCGCAGGAATGTGCCTCGTTGGTTGCGGTGCATCATGGGAGATGAGTGGCTTTGTGCCCTCGGAGCTTCTGCTCAGGGTTTGAACTGAACCCCTGCACCCCCAACCTGTTCGGTGCCCTGAGCAGGTAGAGAGCAGGTCACCTTTCGGCCAATGCATTAATAAGGAGTAAGGTCACCCATCCAGAAAGGCTTCAGTCCTTCGAAAGCTTCCAGTCAAATCCAGACCTGAGTGTAGTGAGACACTGGACCACTCTGAGCTTCATATGTCTCGCCTTTGTAGCCGAGTTTGCAATCACACTTCAGCTACTACACACTTAAAGTCCATCACTTCCTCTTTTGTCTCCTCCCTGTATTTATATTCTATGCAAGTCAATAATTCACGCTCTGTTGACCAAAGCAATAATATTACAATCCCATTAAGTGAATGGTCCCTTGTAGAGATGGTGCTTGTCTGGCCAGTCCTGTCTGCAGCTTGAGGAGCTTCTGCTCCATTCCCATCAGCTCTGGTGGGCTCCGGTGCTCGTTGGCACTCTGTGAGCCTCTGTGTATCCCTCTCTTCTCCTGCCCTCTCAAATGGCAGGAAAAGCAGAAGAACCACATGGATAAACCAGGCTATAAGTCAGCATGAGGAGAACGCATATCCAAAGACAGCGGGATCTGCTGTTAGACTCAACTCTCCAAGTAAAGCCAGATATGACCAGAGGTGGAGATTTCTGGTCCAGAGTACAAATCCAGGCCAATATTTTGTTTTAACCAACCAGTTGAGTACTCTGTGACTGTGACTCTTTATACTCAACTGATTGGTTGGAATAAAATCTTGGTCTGGATCTGTACTCTCTGGACCTGGAATCTCCACCTCTGGATATGACTGACCAAGGTCTTTGAGTCTGGAAAGCTATCTTTGATGCAGCTGAAGTGCACAGATCCACGTCACTTAGAAAACCGCAAAATACTGATGAAATGCATTAATCGTGGTTTTTTTCCAGATGCAGAGGTTTTCCTGTCACACCGCAGCTCCCCCATCATCTACCTAAGGGTGTCTGAAAACCACTTTCCATCGGAATGAAATTTTAATCATCTGGCTTGGTGTTAATGTGTTCTGAGCGTTTCTTGCGTCCTGCAGGAGGGGTGGGCGGCTGGCTGCCTTCGGGGCCTCGAGTACAGAGCACTGGCACGTTGGACCTGCCCGTGTGACCTTAGCTGTCCGCTGAGCTCCACAGCAGGCGACCCCGTCGATGCTAACATGCCGTATCTCGGGGCTCGTAGGTACCAGAGTGAAGCAGAAGTGTCACACGTTGTAAGTGTATGAATCACCTAGCAAGGCTAAAATTGGTGCGGCTTGTGGCTCAGTGGGTTACGACACTGCGTCTGTGACATATATTTTGTTTAAGTATTTGTTTACGCATTTCACTGCACACTGTACCGAGTATAACTATATTTTGGACAAATAAAACTCGATCGGAAGGTTGCCGGTTCAGATCCCAGAGAAATTTCATCGCTGGGGCCCTTGAGCAAGGGCCCCAAATCCCAATCTGCACCAGGGACTGGCTGACCCTGTTTTCAACTGTACATCTCTTTGGATGAAAGCATCTGCTAAATAAACTGGAAGTTCTAAGATCAAAAGCATCAGTTGCCCCAGATCCCCTAAGTTTTCCTAAGAAAGAGCTAACAGAGCGAGCAGGAAGGCAGGGGTAAAAACCAGCATCCACGGTACGGAGCGTTACAGCCTGGTGCAGGATAAAAATCATACGAGGGCAGCGGCTGCTAATTCAGACCTGAAGATGAAAAGGCAATTATCTCCGAGACGGAGGAGCAACACCATGCCGGGCTTCTGCTTATATAAAATGCATCACACGTCACCCGGATCCTGCCAGACCAAGGATAATATGGGGAATGGGGACGCGCAAAGGAAATGCTGACTGCAGCCGCAGACTGGCTCTTGCGGGGGGCGTTGACCGCTTCTGAAGCCCCTTACAAATGCAGGCTTATGAGAAGGACCTGAGGGGAGCAGGAGGCGTCCTCACAGGGG